TTACACTTTATTTGCTCTGTTTTATTTTGTGAAACCTTACTACGTATATGGAATAACCGTTTTATAAAAGCAATAAGCCCCGTGAAGCCGTGGTTTACAGTGATTTTATAACAGCTAAGGGGCCTTGTTAGGCACGACGTGAAGCGGAGAAGCCCTTCTCGGGGCTTATTGCTTTATTATGTAACAATTGTGGCATTTCATATGGTTCAAATCTGAAATCCAACCTGTTGAGATTCATATTACTGAAAAAATAATGATATAATAAGGTTGATGATTATAGAGTATGAGGTATATTGGCATATATACTGTATGTGATGAATAAGTAGTTCCAGTGAGATGTGTGTGTCTTCACACTAATATTGGGGAGCAGATTAAGGGAAGCACCAGACCAGTAGCTTCATATAAAACAGCTGTATTCCCGACTGACCACGGCCTGCAACATCCATTAACATCAGCTAATAGTTCTAACATGTTTGACACAGGATGTCACCCAACGTTTCTCATGTGGAATAATCTGAAGAGGACACGGTCGGCACAGATGCTGCTGTGTGTGCATGCACTGCTGAAGATATAATAACCAATTGATGGAAAAAAATATAGATAGATCTGTGGTAATTTAGCTAGTGGTTTTAGAGAATGTGAACATGTTATTCTTCAAAAAGGCCAAGAGTCAAAGAGCAATACTTTTAAATTAGAAAATGCTGGTGTTGTCACACAAGTAAGAGTGCTATATATTTTTTTATAAAGCGGAGAGTTCCGGTCCTTGATTCTGATTGGCTGAGCCGCGTTCAAAGCTGTTGTAAATTACTCTACAAACACACACCTTTATTTACGTACAACCACTTTGTTGGAACCACAGCTGTTTCTGAGGAGCTACATTGTTTGGTGGAAGAATACTGTTTTTATTAATATCATTACATTTTATTTGCTCTGTTTTATTTTGTGAAACCTTACTACGTATATGGAATAACCGTTTTATAAAAGCAATAAGCCCCGTGAAGCCGTGGTTTACAGTGAATTTATAATGGCTAAGGGGGTTTTAGTCACTCCGCTTCGCGTCGTACTTAACAACGCCCCTTAGCTGTGATAAATTCACTGTAAACCACGGCTTCACGGGGCTTATTGCTTTAATTTGTGTGTTTTACTGTTTCCCTAACACAGTCACTTTTCACTGATTTCTTTTTTAATTTTTTGTCCTCTTTTTTGAAAACTAAAATATGGTCACCCTAGTTTATGTAGCGTGTATGTTGTTGTCCAGCTAAACCAGGTGTTAAGAGGTCTGCTGCTCCTCCTGTGACTGATGTGAGGAGGCCGTCTTCCCCGGTGTTCCTCAGAGGTCTGCAGGATCTCAGAGTCATGGACGGCTGTCAGGTCACAATGACCGTGGAAGTGACAGGTATGAAAAGTCAGCATGAGATCAGCTTCTCCTCTTGGAGGAGAGCAGAGTAAGAATTTATTTTATTTTATTTTATTTTATTTTATTTTATTTTATTTTATTTTATTTTATTTTATTTTATTTTATTTTATTTTATTTTATTTTATTTTATTTTATTTTATTTTATTTTATTTTATTTTATTTTATTTTATGGTCCTCGGCCAAAAAGTCCTGACGCCACTGGCCCAGGACTCATGAGGGCAGTCCCCTCTGGGGTGCAGCAGGTTACACCGCATTACACGGTGTCCGTCTCGCCTCAGTGCCCTCAGGAGATCGGTCTGCTAACCCTGCCGGAGTTACAGGGCACAGCGGTCTCCCGCTAGCACCACTCTCAGTTACCGCCCAGCAACGTAGCGGTGCTTAGAATGAGGAAGGAGGCCATCGAGGTGGTCCCTCCTCATGCAAGGCAGTCCGGGTTCTACAGCCGGTACTTCATAGTTTCGAAGAAGGTCCAGACGCCACTGGCCAAGGACTTATGAGGGCAGTCCCCCCTGGGGTGCAGCGGGTTACACCGCATTACACGGTGTCCGTCTCGCCTCA